TGGATGGTTTTCTGAAGCATCTCTTACTGAGGCTCTAAGCAACGTTTTCATTGTGCTGCTTGTCATGACATCTCAGAACTTCCCTCAAAGAAGGTCTCTTTCCTATGTCAAGAGGGACCCAGCAAAAAGTTTGTAGATGGAATTAAGGCTACCTATCAGATGACATTAAAATGGAAATGTTATTCTGGATCATCCAGTTGGATCCAATGTAATGATAAATGTCCTTTAAAAGTAGACAGAGGCAGAAGAGGACAGAGTGATAAGTGAGAAGGACTCTGGCTTGGCGCCTATAGCTCAACCGGCTAAGGCGCCAGCCACGTACACCTAAGGTGGCGAGTTCGAATCCCCAGCCTGGACCCCGCCAAAAACAACCATGACGGGCAACCAAAAAATAGCCGGGTGTTGTGGCGGGCGCCTGTGGTCCCAGCTACTTGGGTGGCAGAGGCAGGAGACTCGCTTGAGCCCAGGAGTTGGAGGTTGCTGTGAGCTGTAATGCCACGGCACTCTACCCAGGGGGACAGCTTGAGGCTCTGTTTCAAAAAAAAAAAAGTGAGAAGGACTCAAATTACTGTTGTTGGCTTTGAAGATAGAAAAAGGAGGTGGCACACCAGTGTGGATGGATAGGAAACAGATTCAACTTTAGGGCCTCCAGAAGGAACTAGCCCTGCCAGCATCCTGATTTTTGACTTTTGTCTACTAAAATTATAAAATCATAAATTTATATTAAGAAAAAAAAAGGGGGGTCCTCTGAGGAACATTAACTCAAAACAAATAAAATATCTCCAGGAGGTCTATAAAATTAGGAAAATACTCTAAAATGCTTTTGTGATGGTTGTAAGTATGTTTGTGTATTACAATTATGGGAAAAGCTGAGTGCGGTGGCTCATGCCTCTGGGAGGCCAAGGTGGGTGGATCACCTGAGCTCAGGAATTCCAGAATAGCCTGAGCAAGAACAAGACCCTGTCTCTAAAAATAGCCAGCGGTGTGGTGGGCACCTGTAGTCACAGCTACTCAGGAGGCTGAGGCAAGGATCCCTTGAGCCTAAGAGTTTGAATTTGCTGTGAGCTATGACTCCACAGTACTCTACTGGGGGTGGGGAGAGTAAGAAAGTAAGATTCTGCCTCAAAAAAAAATTTATGGGAAAATTTTTTTCTATTATGGTTTATGCTGTCAGATACCATAGATTGGGTGGTTTAAACACTACACATTTATTTCTCACAGTTCTGAATGCTGAGAAGTTCAAGATCAAGGTGCCAATAGATCCAGTGTGTGGTGAGGGCCCAGTTGCTGGTTTGCGTACGGGTCTCTGCTTGTTGGATTCTCATCTAGTGGAGAGCAGAGACACAGATCCCCTGTCTCCACTTCTTTTGATAAGACCAGTAATCTCATCCTGAGGGTCCACCCTCATGACTTCATCTAACTTTAACTACTTTCCAAAGGCCTCCTGGCCAAATACCATCACTTTGAGACTTAGGATTTCAACATATCAATTTTGAGGGGACATATTCAGTTTATAACATATAAATAATTTTTTAATCTAACAAAAAAAATTTAAGTAGAAATATATAAATACACTCCTGACTCTTCTGAAGTTTCAACCCTTGGCAGAGCCATACAGATGTCTATAAATCAGACTCTTTTCTATCTCCCCTCTAGCCTTTCCTCACCACCATACACAGACATTCTGCGTTATCATACTATTCGTTGTTTAACAGCAACCCTGGGCTACAACCCCCAAAGAACACCCAACTCCCTGTCTCTTTGCTGGCATTCTTGGGCCCACCCAGACAAACACAAGGAAGGTTGTTCCACCATGTACATATCATGGCATTTTACACTATCTGCCTCTGACTTATCTTCTGCTCTAGCAGAAGAAGCTTATAGGCTGGGCATGCCATGGCTTGCTTGGCTGTTATCTCCTTTGTCTAGCCTGTGTTAAAGGTTGCCATAGTTGTAAAAATTGTCCACATGATAGCATGTGACAGACTTTTGTTTCTTGTCAAGTCTTCAAAAGCTCCTGGGAGATGATTGTCTCTACAGGGTACTTCCTGTAAGGTCGAATGGTTGTTGAAGTCTTCTAGTATGATGGTTTTCTTTCTTTCTTTCTTTCTTTTTTTTTTGAGACAGAGCCTTAAGCTGTCACCCTGGGTAGAGTGCTGTAGCATCACAGCTTACAGCAACCTCCAACTCCTGGGCTTAAGTGAGTCTCCTGCCTCTGCCTCCCAAGTAGCTGGGACTAAAGGCACCCACCACAACGCCCGGCTATTTTTGGTTGCAGCCATCATTGTTGTTTGGCTAGCCCAGGCTGGATTTGAACCGGCCAGCTCAGGTGTATGTGGCTGGCACCTTAGCCGCTTTAGCCACAGAGTACGATGGTTTTCTTTTTTTTTTTTTTTGAGACAGAGCCTCAAGCTATCCCCCTGGGTAGAGTGCCATGGCCTCACAGCTCACAGCAACCTCCAACTCCTGGGCTCAAGCGAGTCTCCTGCCTCCGCCTCCCAAGTAGCTGGGACCACAGGCGCCCATCACAGCGCCGGCCATTTTTTGGTTGCAGCCATCATTGTTGTTTGGTGGGCCCGGGCTGGGGATTCGAAGCCGCCACCTTAGGTGTATGTGGCTGGCGCCTTAGCTGATTGAGCCACAGGTGCCGAGCCCAGTACGATGGTTTTCAAAGTGAGCTCCCTATATCATTCTTATCCTCTTGGAACTTAGAAATGCAAATTCCTGGGCCCTACCCCTAGCCTATTGAATCAGAATTCTGAGGTGGGGCCCAGCAATCTGAGTTGTCTCAGGCCTTCTAGCAGGTTCTGAAGCATGTAAAATTTGTGAACCAGCTTGGTCTGCCTTTTCACCCTTAACCTCTTTAACCTTAGCCATAAGCAAGCTTCAGATCCTCAGGGATCAGACTTCTAGGACTACATACATATTTTTCCTATGTATACTTGATATTAAAACTTTTTCTATATATGTTTTGAAGTGGTGTTCTGTGTTTTATTTGATTTTGTATTTGTCTGTTTGGCATCTATTAATCAAAAGACCAGACTAATGGCCAAAGTAGTTTATACCTCCCCTGCAATCCAGCTTTTGTGAGTGTGTAAAAGTCATATTATTATAAATCCTCTAACCAATTTCAAGTCCATACTTCCTGCTACCCCCTTTATCAGACTCTCTCCGACCAAACCAGTATTTCCCCTGCTCTAAGTCACCCAGGGCCACATACCCCATACAACTAGAGATCACCCTGATAGCCTAGCCTGCTGACATAATTCAAACTAGCCAATTCCAAGGTGTTTTCCCTTCCCTGTCCTGCCTTTCCCATGGAAACCTCAATAAAAACTCTGGCCTGGACTTTCCTCTCACTCCTGCTTCTGCCTCCTGACTTATCCGGTGCTTTTCCATGTGGACCTGCCTAGCACCGGGTATTCTGAGCTCTCGGGAAATGTAGGTGATAAAAATCATTTTTCACTGCAACAACCTCTATGTGTCATCACGGTCATCTCAATAAATTAAAATCCCGTGGGTACATTTTGAGATAAGTGGCTAATAGAATCAATGTGACATGATAATCAAGGAATGAGAAAATTAGGATAAAGATAAAATAGGAATAGGGAAAATTAGATAGATGAAACTGGGAAATGTTCATATGCAGCATTCACTCAGTGAGGCCTCTACCTTTGTAGAGAAGGAAGAGAATGATGACTTAGTACTTACAACTGCCAAAATAAATCAGGGAATCACACCATCAGGGAATCACAAGGTAACAATCCAGCAGTTTTGAGAAGCATAGCTCTTCCTGATGAGAATGTGGCATCTTCTCTAACCCCCAAGGTCAAAGAGGGGAGGAGCCATTTCTTGAACCATCTCTCTCTTTAGCTGATTGCACAAACCTGAAAGCAGATTTTAGTAACTGCACCTCATGAGAGATGTTCTTTTATGGGTGTATTCAAGAGTTCCATGGGTGTTTGCTTTTCTAATGATCTCCCTTAATCCAAAGAGAAATTGTGGAGCATTCAGACCTAGTCTTTCTCAACATTTTAAGCACACACATCATCACCCAAGAAATTAAATCTTTATTTTTGATGTTAAAAATGACACGTTATTTTCTAAATGTGAAAGTATATTATTAAATGAGATGTGGTTATACAATTCAGGCATTCACCCCATCCCTTTTCCTCTTTGAATATCACTGACCTGAAGACATGGAAGAAGTGGATATTTCTCAAGAAATTCTTTTTAAATGCTATTTATTGAGGTCGAGTCATTGGGGTCAGAAAGGATTTCAGAGAACAGCTAGTCTATCATCAGGGTAGCCCCGGTTCTTCAAAAGTTGAACCAGATCCAGGTGGCTTCCAGGGTGAGGGCAGGTCTGACTATCCAGGTAGGAAGGAGAGGAGATAGCCTGTGGATGAGGGGACCAGCCCAAGGGAAAGAAGAATGGTTTCTGGCGAAGGGAACCCAGACGAACGGCGCCACAGAGTGGATCCGCATCTCAGTACTCGAGGGTGCCCTGTCCCCTCAGTTTCAGTAAGATCTTGTGTTTTGATGTGGTAGGCAGATGCATGCTTTAGTCAAGCCCTAGAGCATGAGAGGGCAGGAACAGGCAAGGACTTGCAACACTGAATGCTGAGGGGGACAGACTCCTGTCAGTCATAACACTCAGACCACTCCTAACTTTTCTTCGGAGACTAGAGGAGGAGCTGACAGGTTTGACGGTCAAGGAGCAAATGATAGTTCACAGGTACAGATAGAGGTGAGGTCAGCCGCAGGACCGGCGTCAGCGCTTGGGTCATGCGAAGACCTGAGTCAGGAGGCAGAGGCAAGGACAGCAGAGGGGCGGGTCCCGAAGCTGGGGCGGACCTGGGAAAGCTTGGCAAGAAAGCAGGGGCGGGGCCAGAGGTGGGCTGAGGCCCTAGTCAGGGGGCGGGGGCAGGTTGGAAGGCGTGGCTTATCCTTGTGAGGCTCGCGCCTGCGCACGGGCGTCCCGAGAGGCAGGGCTGCGCGCGCGCTGTGCTCTTGGCCCGGGAGGGCGGAGTCCAGGCGGGTGCCGGCGGAGGGAGGGGGCGCGGCGGCTTTGGAGTCCGGCGCACCCTCAGGCCGCAGACGCGATGCTGGCTGCTGCGGGTCGGGTTGTGGAGAGGGCGGGGATGTGACGGGCGGCGCCCTCGCCTCACCTTCAGTCCTCCGGCCCGCAGGTCTGTGGGTGACCTGCAGCCGGCCCGCGGCCAAGGAGGCAACGCGACCTCCTCACGGTGAGAACTGGGGTCAGGGCCGCGCTGGGGCCGGGGTCGAGGCGGGCGCCCGGGGTAGCCCAGAACTGGGGCGCCCAGGGCGGGTTGGAGACCCGGGTTCCCGAGGAGAGGCAGTGGCACCCTCCGGCTCTCCCTTCTCCAGGGTGACCCTATCTAGCCCCTAGCGAGCGACCGAGGCGGGGCGGCCAGGGAGCGGGGAGGGCGGAGGGCACCCGCCCTGCTGTGACAGCGCGCCAGGGGCCTCGAACCGCTGGGCGGCCGCCTTTCTCTAAGAAGTCAGGGCCAGTGATTCAGAGCCTGGATGCTTGTGAACGTTGATAGGGGAAAGTACTGGGGTGAGCTGAATGAGTGGGATTCTTTTTTTCTTTTTTTTCTAAAATTACTGGGCCAAAACAAAGACACACCCTAAAACATACTGGGATAAAACTTTAGTGTATCACACCCTTGCCTTAGGTTCAGATCTCTTTTCTTTAGACAGTTGCTATTTTTATGCTTTTTTATAAATGCACCTACTTTCTTGAAAGTAGAAGGAGGAATGATTCCTTTGAGGTGGTCCTTGGTGGCTAAGCTTGAGTTTGAATTTCAGTAATTGCAAATTCATCTTTGTAGGCTACCCCGCCAGTTAGGCTTGCTGTTCTTAGACTAGGCCTTAGCGGTGCTGAAATTACTGATGCTTGGACCCTTTGTGGTCCAAGATTGGAATATTGATTGGTGTTTAACTCTTGTAGATGAAAGAAATGGGAATTTTCGGCTTTGAGGATAACTATCTGAAGAGGCATCCTTTTCATGTTTTTTTTTTTTCTTGAGCATTAAAATATTATTGGAATGTATTAATTTGGCCAGTTTTTTTTAAGCATTATCTTTTACACTAGTTTAAAGAGACTTTAGTGATGGTAGCTCTTTAACCAAAAGGAATTTAAGATACTCTCCTGCAAATGATAGGTAAAAAACATGTCTTGTTGTCTGTAATCAATATATGATAAGGATGTAAACATTTCCTGTTTGGTCTGAAGTCAGTCTTCTTGGACCTTCTTAAAATTTTCTTTGCTTTTCTTAATTTATTAAAGCTCTTTAATCTTTTCTGATTTGGTTGTTTTCTTTAGTGTTTTCAACAACTTTGACTTCAAGTAATCTTTATGTTAAAAATTCACACTTTCTTGAACCTTTAGCTATAATTCACACAGTCTTAGTTGAATGTTGTATAGATATCCCATAGGTAAGAAAGTGCTAGAAGATAGCCTGAAAGCAGGAACTCTATTTGAATTTTTTTTTTATTCTACATTTTGATATCCAGATTGTACTTTTTGTTGCCGTGATTTAGTCTATTAAATGGTGGAGGAAGGGACTTGATTCCATGTTTAAAGGTCCTTTGCTGACTTTCCATAGTCCATAGTGCTAAAATTCAAAGTCCTTCATGATTTCTTGGTACTTGTCTACATTCTAGTTTCATCTTCTAACATTATGCCTGCCCTCGCCATAAAGGCTACTTGTAGTGCCCTGAAGATGACATCTTCCATTGTGGTTTTACACTGTTCTCTGTTGAAAATTCTTTACCTAGTAGATGACTGGCCCTTCAAGACCTTATTAAAATATCGCCTGTGAGCCTTGTCCAGATATCTCTTCCCTCTTGTCTGGACTGATCCCTACAGTCTGCACTTAACATTTGTCAGTTGGAAGTTAATCATTTGTTCTTTTTTTTTTTTTTTTTTTGAGACAGAGCCTCAAGCTATCCCCCTGGGTAGAGTGCTATGGCATCACAGCTCACAGCAACCTCCAACTCCTGGGCTCAAGCGAGTCTCCTGCCTCAGCCTCCCAAGTAGCTGGGACTACAGGCGCCGGCCACAATGCCTGGCTATTTTTTGGTTGCAGCCATCATTGTTGCTTGGCGGGCCTGGGCTGGGGATTCGAACCCGCCACCTTAGGTGTATGTGGCTGGCGCCTTAGCTGCTTGAGCCACAGGCGCTGAGCCTAATCATTTGTTCTTAAGTCTGTCTCCACCAGGCTTTTGGGCTTCTTAAGGAAAGGGACCTTTGCAACTCTAGCACATACTATTGTGTGGCATAGGTGCTCAAAAATTATTTACTGAATGTCTTTTTGAAATGGTCCCAGTCTTGAATATAGCTTTAATGTAGACAAAATATGTTAGACTTCTTCATTCAATTCAATCAGAAAACTTGGAAAAGATGAATGCACAAGATACTTTTAAATATCCAAGAATGAAGTAAAAATTGTTGATGTTGCTAGTTAGGAAAGACACCCCAGATATGATGGAAGAAAACCAATCCATTTGATGATATGAGAATGAAAGGGACATTGCCAGTGAAGATTGCTGCTTCATTGGTCGTAGGACTTTATGCAGTGCCAGTAATTTGAAGTGCCAGTAATTTGCCCAAAGTGACATAGGTAGAAAGAGACAGATCTGGGATTACAATCCAGGTCTTTTGACCATCTGTGTATTTCACCCTTGCCTGTAGTCTCCTAATCCTAAATCTTAAATGTTTTATATTTTGGGGTTGTAAGAGACTTGGGTATGCATTGAAAAGGGAGGGGTCTGTTACATTAATAGAACATTGAGCTTGAAAGAATAAACTGATTATTTAGTTTAAAAATTTTACTATTGAACTATTCAAGCTTAAAAATGTAAGTAATTTTACTTGAGGCTGTTTAGGCTTACTTGTGTGTCACATCTCCTGACCTCATGCTTGTCTACTTTTCACTACTTCATGGTACTTTGGGGGAAAATGAAGAAGTTGCCAATTTTTCAGAGGAATAACAAATCTGCTTGCATTTTCTCCCTTCTTGAATCCATAGCGGCTGCTGCTAGGGAATTAAAGCCCTTGAGTGGCTGAGAAACATGATGATTCATTTGGGGATATAGGAGAAACCTAACCTTCACCATTTCCCCAGCCAGATAGTTTTAACTTAAGTGCTTGGGGCCCTCTCTCCAGATGCCTCATAACGAGTGGCTTCTGATCACCATATGGAGCTCTTGTATACAGTTATGTTTTAATGGTAAAATGAGATTTTAATATAATAAGGTTATAGCTGGCTAATAGTGTGGCTAAAATTACATGTTTGGTTTGTCTGTATTTGAAAAGAGCCTATTTGTTACTCCTGTGCAATAGATTTTTTGGGAAACTTGTAAATACCTGTGAAAAATCAGTTTGAAATGTGTACTTAGTGTTGTGGGCCTCATCAGTTTCAGCAGGCTTTTTATTTTACAAACAACTTGGTGGTCAAAGAAATAAGAAAAAAACTAAACTAACTTAATTTTACTTATTTATTTCTTGTTACAGCTATGAGTTTATACTACAGTCAAACATAAATGTAATGTTATATATTTACTTGCATATTTGTGTTTTCTTTTTTGTTATAGATTTTATACCTTTAGATTATTATACCTTGTTCCAGTGAGTTGAGTTACTTATTTCTTAATTACGGGACATCTAGGTTACTTCCCATTTTGAACATAACACAGTTAGTATACAGTTGTTCATTTTGCTTCTTTCCTTTTAGGCTGAAGGGCCAGGAGGGGAATTACAAGGTCAAAGGGTATGATGACTTTGTTAATTTTGAGAAATATTACCAGATTTACTTCTGAAAGGTATTGACTTACATTGTCTTTAGCAGAGTTTGGTTGACCAGTTTTATCATACTTCTATGGGATTTTGTTTTTAAATGTTTGTTTTTTAAAAATATTGATAAGATGACTTGCTTATCTAATATCATAGTTCACAGTAGACAAGCAAATTTAGTTTTTTTTAAGTTTTATTTTCCTGTTTGCATGAATTGTGCATCATATGCTCATAAGTTTATTGGAATTTCACTTCTTACTAGTATTTGTTAGCACTAACACCATAAATATATTACTTCTTTGAAAAATATTTCTCATCTATTTTATTTTCCTTGTTGGAGGCTTTATACTTTTTATATTATTAAAATCACTGACTTTAAAAAATAATTTTAGAATTTTGTCTTTTGATTATGAGATCTGAGAATGAATGTCACTCTACTATCTGATACATACTTTTATTTTTTTAAACTTCCGAAGTTCATTTTGGTATGAGTACATCTTTAGCCAGTTACACATGTGGTTGAAATTGAATGTCATTTATGGGGATTTTATGTTATAGAAAACTACATTCTTGAGTTTTCATTTTTTTTCCTGAACTTGAATAGGAAAATAAACAAAATGATCTAGGGTTCTTTTTTTTTTTTT